CTGACAGTCCACATCCTGAAGGTAATTAAATACATATAAATCATAGAATCATAGAATGGTTTGGGTTGAAAAGCACCACAGTGATCATCTAATTTCAACCCCCCTGCTGTGTGCAGGGTCGCCATCCACTAGACAGGCTGTCCAGAGCCACATCCAGCCTGGCCTTGAATGCCTCCGGGGATGGGGCATCTACAACCTCCTTGGGCAACCTGTTCCAGTGCTTCACCACCCTCTGTGTGAAAAACTTCCTTCTAATATCTGATCTAAACCTCCCCTGTCTCAGTTTAAAACCATTCCCCATTGTCCTATCACTATAAATGATGTTGGTGCCCAGGAATCTCTCAGGTGATGTTATTCTCCAGGCTGTCCAGAGGTGTTATAGCTTTTTTCCACTTCTTCAGGATAATAAGTACTGTTGAAATACTTGATTTTGAAATTAGGAGCATCTGTAGCATAAAGAGGAAAACAGGGGAAAAAAGGTTATCCTTTTTTCCTCTTTCTCCAACAATCTGAGTTACAAATGGTAGGAATTGATTTTGAAAGTATGAAAGTTGCACAGCTGTGGGAGCTCTAATAGTGGTAGGAGCAACTTCTATCATTCATTAGCACTGGAAACATCTTTGAAATGTAGAAAACACTCTGCGCTGTACTTCCTGATAAGTTCCAATTTTCTTCCTACTATGATGGAAAGAGAGCCAAGATTTGATGAATGAAATTGAGACTCACTGTGAAACAGAGCAACAGCTTTGATGAGCTGCCAGATTCCAGCAAAGGTGAATAAGAAAGAAAAAGGCATTTCTGAATAAAATGCCTTTCCCTTCTTCAGAAACAAATCATCGTCTTATAAATTACCTTCTCGAGTGAGAATCCATCCTTCGTGGAACGGGAGACAGACTGCAGAGCAGAGACAATTGATGGATGTTAAAGACAAACTACCAAAAGACAAATGCATCTTGAGAATCATAGAATCATAGAATCATAGAATCACCAAGGTTGGAAAAGACCTAAAAGATCATCCAGTCCAACCGTTCACCTATTCCCAATAGCTCCTACTAAACCATGTCCCTCAACACAACATCCAGTCTTTCCTTGAACACCCCCAGGGTCGGTGACTCCACCACCTCCCTGGGCAGTCCGTTCCAGTGCCTGACCACCCTTTCTGAAAAGTAATACTTCCTCATGTCCAGCCTGAATCTCCCCTGCTGTAGCTTGAAGCCATTCCCCCTGGTCCTATCACTAATGACACGAGAGAAGAGGCCGACCCCCAGCTCACTACAGCCTCCCTTCAGGAAGTTATAGAGAGCAATGAGGTCTCCCCTGAGCCTCCTCTTCTCCAGGCTGAACATTCCCAGCTCCTTCAGCCTCTCCTCATATGGCCTGTGTTCCAGACCCCTCACCAGCTTTGTTGCCCTCCTTTGAACACGTTCCAGGGCCTCAATATCTTTCTTGCAGTGAGGGGCCCAAAACTGGACACAGTACTCGAGGTGCGGCCTCACCAGTGCTGAATACAGGGGAACAATCACCTCTCTGCTCCTGCTTGCAACACTGTTTCTGATGCAAGCCAGGATGCCATTGGCCTTCTTAGCCACCTGGGCACACTGTCGGCTCATGTTGAGCCGAGCATCAATCAATACCCCCAGGTCCATTTCCTCTACGCAGTCCTCCAGCCACACCGCCCCAAGCCTGTAGCGTCGCCTGGGGTTGTTGTGGCCGAAAACAGCATGAAGTCGTATTTTCGAGAATGACCACACATCATATTCGCACAGATGCCAACGGGGAACCGAGTTGAGAAATGGAAGAGCTTTCAGATAATCTCTATCCTTTAAGAAGCCAAAACCTCAACATCACTAACACATCTGAACTCATTTTCAGAAGCGACGCCCCTCACATTTGATGCTGTATCACGCGCATTTTTCATGCTTCAGCATAGGTTTCTCTTAAAAGGTTTAGTCACTGCAATGTACAAAATACATTAAAACAAACCATCAGTACAATTAATATGTCAGGTCAAAAGCTGACTATATCTGTGGAAATTGGCCTAAAAGAAGGGCTCCGTGTTGGTCTAACAGGTCAGCTTTAGTCAGCGGCAGAACTGTTGAACAGCAGTGTGCACAGAGCAATATGTGTGTTTCTGCAGACCTGCCCTCTGACTGGACCAGGAACTGGAGTGTTTTGTTAGTGACTGTGAGTTCCAACTCGAGGTCCCAGCAGCATTTCCCATTGAAATCTTCCAGCTGGCTTCTGCGCACTGCAACATCAGCACTGGTCACAATTAAACAAGGACAGAAGAAAGACACTAACTGGTGGCACTACAGAAATGCAATTTGATGTAGTATTAGAAAGAAGAAAGTACTGTGGGGAAGAAGACTTTCTTCTTACCTCCCCAGGCTTGAAAAACAGATCTCACCAGGTTGTAAAAACCTATCTGTCTGTGGGTACTTTATTTTACTAAGAAAATCCAACAGTGCATAAAGTTGACATCTATCAGCTGCAATTGGGCACCTGCAAAGGAGCACCTGGATCTGAAACCCTAGAAGCAGGTGCCTTTAGCTGAATACTCACTGGCACAGAAGAAGCCCACACCAAACCATAACAACACTGAAGCAAGGAAAAAAAAGAAAAAGAAAAAAAGAAAAAAAAAGGAAGAAAGAAGGAAAAGTAGCAGGGTGTGGATGTGCAGAAATTAATCCAGTCAACTATACAAAGTTCAGGAGTATGGAAATGAAGTTTCACAATTACAGATCTGTATGGTCCAGTTTCCTAAAGCCCAATGTCCGTATCAAATCTCTTCAACACGAGTGCTGGTTTCTCTGTCAGGAGCGGAGCTGATGCACCAGCTCTATCTGAAGGGTAGCTTCAGGGAAGCTGAAGGGTAGTATGAGAGTGCTGCTGTGGGAGACCAGGGTGAGGTGAACCTTCTGCAGATATGCTGCTTGCCTCCTCGTGTTCATGGAATCCAGAAGGGACTGTGGGACCAGGAACTACGGTTTGCCTTTAGTTTTATTAGCTCAGGCTTACAGTGCACAGCTGTAGGGGTGGGAATGGGCCAAGGGTGTTGTGCCTGCTTCAGAGGCTCCTTCTCCAGGCTCATCACCCGATAGAGGATCTCTTGCAGACAGTGCTGTGCTGGGCACTCAGCACAGCTTCTGCTCCAGGCACAAGCACAGGCATCGAAGCAAGAAATGACTTTTTCTTGGCATGACCCACTACAGAATTGAACTGGGATGGCAATTAGAAGTTGAAGTGCACATTTAATGCCGGTGATGTGTAAACTACATTGCCATTGTTATTTTAGTGCTGATTTACATAATTGGCATAGTGGCATGCTGCTTGCACCTTGTTCGTGGTGAAGACTGACAGGAAGTCATAAACCTAAACATGTATTTGCTCTGAAATGCAATGAAAAAGTTGCAAAACTTTTGAGGGCCTTTACCACGCCATGTGTGCCCTGCAGCAGCAAGCGAGGGTCAGGTGAAGGAACTTGGGGAGCAGCAGGACCAAAGGGACTCTCCTGGCTCCATAGTTATACCAGCACAGGGCTGGAAATCCCCACTTGGGCACTGTCCCAGGGCACAGCTGCAGCTGAAGAGAAGGCAGGAGAAGGGACCTGTCCCAGTGCAGATGCTGTGTCGTGCCCTAAGTCAAGATGGAGGGAGAAGGTCACTCCAAAAGGAAGAGCTGAGAATGGAGGTGTCAAGGTTGTTGTCGCTTTAGATTCTCATCCACAGTATTTTAGGTTTGGCTACGGCTTCTCTGCAAATGAAGTCCCTGAGAAATATTTGTGACCTCACAGGCAGCGACCCGCACGGGGCTCCAAACCCTGCGACGGCCCCGGCGGTAGGTGCCGCACAGCCGCGTGGAGGGGCCGCGTCCCACGCAGGCGGACGAAAGCCGGGGCAGAAGCCGCCCCCGAGCACGGTGCCGCGGCGAAGAGCAGAGCGGCAGCGAGGAGCGGGCAGGTGCGGAGCGGGGCCGCGGGCGGGGAGCGCCGCGCCGCCACCACTGGGGGGCAGCCACGGCTCAGGAACGCGCCGCGGCCGTGCGGGCCGGGCCGGGGCCGGGGCACGGGGCAGCGTCCCGGGTGCTCCTGCCGCACCCCGACGGCGGCAGAGCGGGGAGCGCGGCTCCCAACCCGGGGCCGGGCACCGCGGCGGTGAGGCGCGGGATGGGCGCGGCTCCGCGCTTCGGGAGCACCGCCGGAGGCTCGGGGTCGGCTCGGGTGGGGTGGGGTCGGGTCGCGCGACCCAGCGCTCGGCCCCCGCGCGGGCGGGCGGACGAACGCACGCACGCACAGACGGACGGACGGACCGGAGGCCGCCGCGGCGCTGCCGGGCGAGGCAGGGAACGGGCGAGGGAGGAGGGAGAGAAGCGGCGAGGGAGGGAGAGAGGGAGGCGGCGTCTCCTTTAAAAGCCGTGCGGGGCCGCGGCCCGCTCCCACAGGGCGGCTGTGATTGGCGCGGGCCCGCGAGCCTCCGGGGTCGTGACATCGGCGCGCAACAAAAAGCCGCGGCGGCGTTCGGCCGCCCCCGTGCATGGTGCGGCGCGGGCGGGACGGGCGCGCGCTCGCAGCGCTGTCCCCGGCGCTCCTCCGCGGTGCTCCACGCCCTCCGGAGGGTTGTGTTGTTTTTTGTTTTTTGTTTTTTTTTTTTTTGTATTGTAGGTTTTTATTTTGTTCTCCTCCTTTCTTTTTTCAAGGGAGCGGAGCAAAGCGAAGCCGAACTCCCCTCTTCATGTCGCTGCGGGACTCCCGGTAAATATCCGTCCGTCCGGTGCGGGTGATGCGAAGGACGCTCGCGAAAGGCGCCGTTCCGCTCCGTAACGCATAGCACCCACTCGCGGGCGGGCACGCGCGCACCGAGAGGAGGACGAAAAGGAAGCGTCGACTTTTCGACCGCCGCTTTCCGAAAGGAGAAGCTTTCTCCCGGCGGAGACCTTCCTTCTGCCTCCTGCCCCGCCGCCGAAGGCATGTTCCCGATGCGCTCCGCACCGCGGGGAGCTCTCGCTTTCCGCCCAGCAGCCGCAGAGGAGCAGCAGCAGCGCGGTTCGGAGTAACTCCAAGTGATGCGGGGACCACAGCCCGAGAGCAGCACGCGCTCCTGCAGACGCCAGCCCCGCCGCACTCAGGTACGGCCCCGCGGCCGCTGAACGCCGTCTCCACAGGATGACTCCGTGCGCTCCGCAAGAGAGGGGGGACGGGACGCTGAGCGTGTTCGGAGAGCGTGTAGCGATCCTTATCCCGCGCGGAATTTCGCGGGGGAGAAGAGCGTCCCGCGACTCCTGCTCGGGACGGAGCGCGATCGGCATTTTTTCTTTTTTTCTTTTTTTTTTTTTTTTTTTTTCTCCTCCTCTTTCCACGCCGGGAGAAAGGGGCCCTCCTCCCTGCGCACGGGGAAGCCGCGGCTGGAAAGCCGGCCCCGGGCCCCGCGCCGTGCACGGCCGGGAGGTCCCTCTCCCACCGCCCCGTCCCTCTCCACCCCCGTCCCCTCGGCAGGGGGCCGCCGCGGCGCACACCTGCGCCAGCCGAGGGCAGCGCTCTGGCCGCCCGCGCCCCTTCCCCTCGGCCCCCCGCGGCCCTGCTCGGCCCGCCCGGCTCCCTTTGATCCCCCGCCGCGGGGTTTTCGTGCCGCCGCGCACCTGAGCCCCGACGGGGCCCCCTCCGCGCCGTCCCGCGCGCCATGGGCCGGCAGCCACCTGCGGAGCGGCCCCGGCCGCCCCCCGCCTCGCGGCGCGCTCCCCCGGCGCGGTGCCCGCGCTGACCGCCTCCCATCGCCTCCTCCTCCGCGCAGGTCGACCATGGTTGCCGCCACCCGCTCCCTCCTGGCGTTGCTGCTCTGCCGGGTGCTGCTGGGCGGCGCGGCCGGCCTCATGCCGGAGGTGGGACGGCGGCGCTTCAGCGAGCCGGGCCGCGCCGCCTCGGCCGCGCAGCGCCCCGAGGACCTCCTGGGCGAGTTCGAGCTGCGCCTGCTCCACATGTTCGGGCTGAAGCGGCGGCCCAGCCCCGGCAAGGACGTCGTCATCCCCCCCTACATGCTGGACCTTTACCGCCTGCACGCCGGCCAGCAGCTGGGCTACCCGCTGGAGAGGGCCGCCAGCCGCGCCAACACCGTGCGCAGCTTCCACCACGAAGGTAGGGGCCGAGGGACGGGCAGAGGAGCGGGAGGAGAGCGAGGGAGGGCCGGAGGAGGGGCGGCGGGGCGGGCTCCGCGCTTCGGAGGGGGTCACGGGTGCGTTTCCAGAGTCCCCCGCGGGCTCCGGCGCTGCCGGCGGGACGGCTCTCGTCGCGCTCTGCCGGGCGCGAACGGAGCGATCCCGCGGCGGGCTTTCTTTGGGCGAGGCGGAATGCCGAGGAAAGCGTCCCCCGAGCCGCGGCGAAGGTTCCTAATCCCTTATTTAAATCCCCGTGGGAGATGGGCGAAGCGGTCCGGTGCGGCCTTTCCCCGACCGCCGTCGAGCGGAGGAGCGGCGGAGCCCGGAGCCGCGCCGCGCGCCCGGAGGTAGCGCTCCGGCATGGAGCTCCGGCCGCTGGCTTCCCGTCCGCGGGGCCGTTCCCAGCGAGCGGCTTCCACGGCCGAGATCGCTGCCGCGTGGGGCCCGCGGAGCCGTCGGTGCGCGCCGCTGCTGCGCTCTGCAGGAAACGTTTCCCCGGGATGTAACCTTCACTGGCCGTAGTCTCTGGCGCTGGCACAGGGCGGCTCTGCTTTAAAGGGAATGAAAAGGCGGTCGCCCCGCGCTCTTCAGGTGGAACTGTGCTAAGAAAAGAAACGCGCTTGGACCTAATGGGTTCTGCTGGACAGAGTTGGCCCCGGTGCCGTTTGGCGGTGAATTTCAGTGGTGAAATGTAACTCTTGCTGTAGTGGGGAAGTAAACAGCAGTGATGCATGGCTTGTTCCTTGTAAGCCCGTGCGTGGCAGGCAAGGTGCTGAGCAGGAGTGGAGCTGAGGGGCACAGAGTGTAACTTGTAGGCAGACAGAATGGTGTTGGAAGCAGTGGTGTTGCAACAATGTCCTTGACATAGAAGCTGTCCTCCAGTTTTCACAGACTGGAGATGAAAATCACCGTGACTCCATTTTTCCATTGAGTTCTCACTGTTGGTTCATGACTTCATTAAAGCAGGAGGCTGTGCTGGGAGCGCTCGCACATCTGCATATTTACAAACGCCAGGCTGGTCCCAAAGCGCTGCAAAGCTGAGCCCTGCCTGATGCGGGAAGTCGTGCTGGAGCCAGCAGGGAATGGCACAAGGCTAAGAACTGCTCACATCAGTACCAGCTTCCCTTCAGAAAGTGAATGGATCCCCAGGATGCTGAGTAGCAAAGTGGAAAAACCAGGATTTCAGAGAGATTTCTGTGGGCAAACATCATTTCTTCTATTTCTGCAGCAAAAACAGTGTAGTGGCCCTAGATACGTAGTAGTACTTCCCCCTGAAGTTCCATTCCCGTGTCTGTTGGCTGAAAAGGGAAGGTGGCACGGGACTTAGGAGTTGGTTTGGTTGCTAAAAATGTGTTGTTTCCTTATCTGTTTAGCATCCATCCATTCTAGCAGCTAGACCCATTCTCACAGTTCTTTGGACTGCATACTGAGGTGTGCTTGTAAAGTGCCCTTATAGATGTTGAGGTCGCTGCGTCTAGTTAACATATGCAAATCCCTGCATTGAAATTGAGTAAATTACTGAAATTGTGGAGTACTATATTTCAGAGTGGAGCTTAAGGGATTGATGCTTGAGCCACATTCTTGAAAAATGCAGAAATGCAGCATTTCCCCTTAAATCCTCAGTTGGTTTTAATGATTCTCATCAGACCTCCGCTAACTGTAGTGCTCGAGTTTTCTCACTGGTGTCCTTGAATTCCAACGTGATGCTTCATGTTTCTCAGCACTCGTAATGACTACCTGGAATGCAGAGAGCACCGGTATTCCATCAAAGTGCATGACAATGAATGAAGCGTTCTTAACTTCATGCTGTACGTGCTTGCGTAAATAAACAGAAAGATGAGGGAGGCTGTGCTTTCTGCCTGGAAGTCTTTCAGGTCTTGTTTGTCGCATGCCAGCAGCACGTATCTGAGTGGTTTGGTTGCTTGTCTCAGTTCCTAACTTTTTTTTCTCTCTCCCTCTGCTCCCTGCCCCCTTCCCTGCCCCCCCTCCTGTTTAATCAAATTAGAAGTTTTGGAAGAACTGCCAGAAACAAGTGGGAAAACAGCACGACGTTTCTTCTTTAATTTAACTTCCATCCCTAATGAGGAGTCTATCACCTCAGCTGAACTCCAGATTTTTCGGGAGCAGGTGCACGAAGCCTTTGAGAGCAACAGCAGCTACCATCACCGTATTAATATTTATGAAATTATAAAACCAGCCACAGCCACCTCTAAGGACCCTGTCACAAGACTTTTGGACACCAGGTTGGTGCACCATAATGCGAGTAAATGGGAAAGTTTTGATGTAACGCCAGCTGTTTTGAGGTGGATTGCACACGGACAACCTAATCATGGGTTTGTGGTGGAGGTGGTTCACTTGGACAAAGAGAACAGTGCCTCCAAGAGGCACGTTAGGATTAGCAGGTCTTTACATCAGGACGAAGATAGCTGGTCTCAGCTCAGGCCGTTGTTAGTGACGTTTGGGCATGATGGCAAGGGACACCCGCTTCATAAAAGAGAAAAGCGTCAAGCGAAACACAAACAGCGTAAACGCCACAAATACAGTTGCAAAAGGCATCCGTTGTATGTGGACTTCAATGATGTGGGGTGGAATGACTGGATTGTTGCCCCGCCGGGGTATAGTGCCTTTTACTGCCATGGGGAATGTCCTTTTCCGCTGGCAGATCACCTAAACTCAACAAACCATGCCATTGTTCAGACTTTGGTCAATTCAGTGAATTCCAAAATCCCCAAGGCTTGCTGTGTGCCGACAGAACTGAGTGCTATTTCAATGCTCTACCTTGACGAGAACGAAAAAGTTGTACTAAAGAACTATCAAGATATGGTTGTGGAGGGTTGTGGGTGCCGCTAACACAGCGAATATATCGGACAAATGCAAAAAAGAAAAAAGAAAAAAAAAAAAAGAAAAGCTGACACTTTAATATTTCCCAATGAAGACTTTATTTATGTAATGAAATGGAAAGAAAAAAAAAAAACACAACTATTTTGAAAATATATTTATGTCTACGAAAAGGTTGGGAAAACAAATATTTTAATCAGAGAAATATTCCTTTAAAGATTTTAAATGTATTTTAGTTGTACATTTTATATGGGTTTAACCCCCAGCACATGAAGTATAATGGTCAGATTCTTATTTTGTATTTATTTACTATTATAACCACTTTTTAGAAGAATAGCTAATTTGTATTTATATGTAATCAAAAAGAAAAAAAATATAGGGTTTGTACATAATTTTTCAAAATTGTAGCTGTTTCAATCGCGTGTATTTAAGTTGAAGAGAAGACACGGAAGGTTACCATGGCAAAGTGCATAGCACATTTGCTTTCTGCAGTGCTACTGTTAAGGTCACAAGTTCAAGTCCAGAAAAAAGTGGATAATCCACTCTGCTGACTTTCAAGATTATTATATTGTACAATTCTCAGGAATGCTGCAGGGTGGGCTGTCCAATCCATGAGAACTGGCATCCTCCTTAGGTGGAACATTTGGATAAGAACCAGACGTTGCTGATCTAGTATAAATACTACTATTCCTGACTAATTTGCAGAGTGAATATAAGAAGGGCCAACAGAAATCCCAGGGGAGGTGGGGGTGGGGAAAGAGCAAATCCTTTCTAGACCTACAGAAAAGCGAATGTTTGATGTTTCCTTTAAAAGTCCTTCCTTTAAAAGTCCTGGCCAAATATAAAATAATAAAAACTCAAATGTTATCTTTTTTTTTTTGTGATTATGTATGCTGAAGAGGAATAATGATCTTATTTGTACTGGCCCTTGTCTTTAACAGTTGGATAAGTGTTGCGTACTTCCTCGCCTCAGGTGGGAGCTCGCTTCTGTGCGGTGTAACAGTGAAATTGTCAATTTTTCGTGCTTCATGCAGCAAGTTGTTACTGTGAGCAGCCTCCCATCTAACCTTGGATGATGGTTTTGCGGTTTTACAGATTAGCTTCTCTTCCTTCGTGGGGTTTTGTTTGAAAGGTTTTTCTTTTCTTTCCCAAGATGTTTGGATCTCTTTCAGATAATAAATCATGGAACTCTGCTATTTCTCTCTGGAAAAATCCAATCTGTAAGAAAACACGGTTCACTCATCCAGCCATCACAAGAGCAACCTGTGCTTACATCATTTAGCTTTCTAAATTTATTGTGTAAGGGATAAGAGCATGACTTGCAGTTGGTAATCTCAGCATTGCAGCTAATGCTTCTCATGCTGTTGTATGTTAGAAGACTGGTGTGGCAGTCAGCATATGGGTTATGGAGAATGAGGTGAGCGTGCGGAGGCTGGGTTGCTTTGTTAGAAGAAAGCTATGCTGAAATAGTATAGCAGGAAAGTAGCTTCTTTTGGCTTCTTGGTGATCCACTGCAAAGCTAGGAGCAGAGGGAAGTTGTGTTAGACTTCCTGTGGTCTTAGGAGCTCTCTGTTATATTTGGTGAAGATAGGGTGGCTCTGTGCTGATGCTTTGGAGATGTCTGAGCTCCTTTGTGCCCTGCTGAATGGAACAATTTGGATAAGTGAGGCAGCATGTCCTAAAGCCATACAGTTATCCCATTAGAGACCTCTCAAAGACAGCTTGGGAAATCTGATTTATAATGCATTACTAACAACAATCTTCCGTTTTGCGTGGCCTTCCCCAAACTCCTGCTTGTTGCCAGCATCTTCTGTGTTACAGCTGCTCAGAAGAACTGACCTAGTAATATCTTACAGGTAGTCTTACAGAGAAGTATGCTTCCTCTGTGCTTATTGTAAAAAGCAATGGGGGGAGAGGATGGGAGAGAAAAACTAATGTTACTTCTTGTTGACTGTTAACATTTTCATCTTGTGAGCTTAAAAATGTATTAGGCAAGCTGTAAGCTTCTGTGCAGAGATTCAAACCTTGGTATGTACCATCGATATTCTTAATAACTAAGAGAGTATGGTGTTACATAGTAGTCTACAGGTTTGCTGGGTGGACAACCCCTCATTTCTCTTTTCAAGAGATGAGTGCTGTTCTGTTGGCCTTTTTCTTGTTTTTGAGGCTGGGAATCTTTGCAGAATTGTGGTTTGCCTTTCCTCTGCTTGGAAGGGCATGCCTGTTTTACTGAGAGGTGATGGTGATTGTTTTGGAAAGGTTATCAGTCAGCGTGTGCCACAGTGCTGCAAGAACTCAGCAATCATTTGGGTTGGGTGGCAGTGCCAGTTAGGGCATGGTAGCAGTAGCATGCTCTGTATCTTAGGTTTGCAAAAGCTGAACATGAAGTGCTGAAAAATGGATTGCACCACTGCTATGAGCAGAAAAGATGATCCCAAACCTGCTGCAATCAGTGAAGACCCTACGGCACGTCTAACCACATCCTAAGCTCCCAAGTGTTGCCAGACTTAAGTTTCACAGCTCCTAGCCCATTGCGTGTAACTAGATTTAGGGAGGCTTTTTCCAGAGAGGTGACTGCTTTAGATCTTCTCTAAGGCATGAGAATGCATTGATGCTAATCTTGTTTTTTAAAAACAAAACAAACAAAAACCTTGGCTTTGGTGCTTGTCAGTGCATGAGCAGTAGTGGTTCGTGGCATGGTGCTGCATTCCTTGTGAAGGCAAACTTCTAGTTGCTTGACAAAGAACTGCGTAGTTAATAAAATTCATGGTGAGGTCATTGTGTAGTTGTAAACACAGCAAGAACCACTTCTGTAAGAGCCTGCTTTTGTGTCACAGAACTTCCTTACTGATTTTGAGGAGAAAATACGTATGCACCAAGCTCAACAAGTCAATGCATTTCTACAGAATTGGTTTCAAAGTGCATCTTAAAGTTCTTGACCTTAAATTCTCTGGATTGGATACATGTGAGTGCCGTGCTGAGTAATTTGTTTAGGATTTTTATAAAGAAGGAAACAAAACAGGGGCTGTCCTACCTGAGTAGTAGAGAAGTCTTACAGAACAGTTGTGTTCTTAAATTCTTAAGTGTCGGTGATCAGATGGCCCTTCTGAAATACAGGTTTTCTGATGTCTTCTCAGTCTAGTAATGACTAAATAATCCTAAATACTGAAAGTATACTGTTACTACTGTATTTTAGTACTTATTGTAGTTCATTAGTACTAATTAGTGTTATAGTGTTCTACAAGAAGAAATTAACTTCTTCCTACATCCCTCTGCTTGAGAAAAAGCAGAAGATCTAGAAGGTGAATTTCCCTCTGTCACCCTAAAGTCTGTTTCCCCTCAAGATAATGCTTCTAAGTGCTTGCATATAATCTATATAGGCAGCGATTGTGATAGATAATGTCACCATTTGTGCTTTTCAGATAAGCATCTCTCTAAACACAAATGTGATCAGCACTTCTCCTTGTCCTTTTGAGACTCAGTAACAGCTTTGTTGGGTGGCTTGATAATCTTTGCACAAGCCTCAGTTGGACTTCTGTGGTCAGCAACGTGTAAAAATGACATGGAAAGACCTTCAGTTGAGGTAAGCTCTCCAGAGAGCATTGGCTGTTTTCACCCAGCAGGATCTGTTTCTGCTGTACTAACCTGGGTTCATTGTGATCAGACACTGAGACCTGTCTTTTCCTATGACCGTGAGGTTTCGGTGTCTGCAGGCTGTCACTGCTCTCTCCCTTGTTGGGCAGTGAGGAGTCTTCCATTGGTGCAGTTGGTAATGATGAGGCATGGAGAGGAACACTGCTTGCTGTACTCTTGCCTTTGAAGATGGAGTTCATCTGGATGGCATTTATAGTAGACTCACTTTGCTACCACCCTATTTGAAGAGGATAATTATTGAACTATTTTATTATATAGCTATTCCCAAATTGTTGATTTTTTTTTTTTTAATTGATTTCAGGAGGCAGCTAATTGCCATATGGCAGTTTGACATTAATGTTTTATGAAGATCAGGAAACAAAAGTTTATGAAAAGCTTTTGTATAGTAACTGCAGAGTTTCAAGAACTGTTTTATACTTCCTGACAGTGCAGGTCTGGCTTAATGGTTTGTTTTTATTGCTTAAGAGTGTAAACTTTTCTTTAGCCAATGTGTGGAAATTATATCCTCATCCCGCATTACACATTTCTCATTACTCATTCCCTGCTTTCATTTCTGCCATCTGTAATCAGAGCTTCACTGTTTCAGCTGCATGTGAAATGCTCCTATCCTGTGCACAGTAAGTTACTTTCCTTCACTTGCACCCACCCCTACAAAAGAAAAAGTTTAAAAAAAAAAAAAAAAAAAAAGTGGGGGAAAGGCCTTCTTGGTCTATATTGTTTTTCTCTGTTTTGGGTGGAGTCTGTCTTAGATTCTGGTTGCTAGATGGTTTCTGTAGTAACCAGCAGAGAAAAAAATCCGAGACTGAAACGGCACTTTTAAAGGTGCCATATCTTGCCTGGAGTATTATTTATCTCATTATGGGCATGGAATATTTCTCTTTATGTTAAGGCTTCCTTTCCCTTCTTGGTAGGATGCATTGCTGCCATGGAGAACTTGATTTGTTGTGATCTTGCCATATGAGAATGTGAGGACTGCAAGTCCTATTCCCAGTTGACTTAAGCTGCTCAAAATAAGGATGAGAAGCCAAAGGCATTAAAAAGTATTTTAAATGTTATAAGCAATTGTTACTGGCGCAAACCCCTTTATTCTTTAGTTACATGAGGGGGGGAGAAGAGCAGCTAGGTTCAGAAGGACCCTTGTAGTATACATGACTGCTGCGAGGAGGGCTGTGGGTAGGATTGGTGTTCTTTTATTTTGCCAAGCTACTGTGTAGAAAGAAAAAACACTGCTCCTTCAGAATATGTTTTTACTCTGCTGTACATCAAAGGTGTTTTTTTGTTGTTGTTGTTTACTTCTCCCAAGAGATTTTACAGGTGTATGAGAAAGTAACCATTTGCATCTACTATGTTGGACTTGCTTGGGCACAAAAAGGATGCAAAAAAATTATTGTGAGATTGAATCTTTCCTGTCTCAG